TTGACTTTTAATAGGACACAATGGAGAAAAAGGATTCATGTAGCCGACCCCACGTAGTGGGATAAAGGCTTGATGTTGTTGTGTTGTTGTTGTAGTCTATGAGGGGCCATTTGGAAATCTTATATAAATGAGGGACTAAGTTGAAGAAATGTGATATTCTGGGGCTAAATTGGTGACATACCTAATAGTCAAAAGATTATTTTGGAATTTTTTTTCCATAAAAGAAATGTATCTATGATGATTCAGAGGATTACTTAGGATGATAGCTTTGGTTTGTTTAATGTCTTTTGAGGTTATACTGTTATTGCCTCTATTGCATCTGGCCCACCTTGCAGATTTCTGAATATTTTTTAAACTAGTTGACAGTTTCTATGAAATTCAAGCTTCTTATGTTATTTTGATTTTCTTTGGAAATTTTGTTGACTTTTGGTCTAGACCATTTTATTAGCACAAGTGTAATTTTGTATTTTGTCAAGATTGTTATGGTATCAGAAGTGCTAATTTTTGCACGTTAGTTTTGGCATATATTTTTTTATCTATTATAACCATACTGCTCCTTGCTTTATAAACATAGATTCTTACTCACTGCTCCGTGTTACTATACAATAGTCTTGTTTTGATGTAATTGTTTATTTTATTTGACTATTTTCTGCCCTTCTAAATAGTGGTCCGGGAAGAGCGAGGCCCCTATGGTGATCCTCAACATCCCTACTTCTATGAAGAAGATGATGTGTGGATGGCCCCTGGATTTATTAACCAATTCTATGAAGTGAGTTGAATGAATGATTTTTACTTCTCTCACAACTACAAATGCTCTATTTTGGTAGCCATAACAACCTTTTTTATGCAGGTTCCTGATTACTGGAAAACCTATGTTGAAGAAGTTGATCAGGAAAGAGAAATGTGGCTGAACTCTTTCTATAAAGCTCCATTAAGAATTCCAATGCCCGCTGAGCTTGAATATTGGTGGTCTAAAGGTTACTAAAACTTCACTTTTTCTTTATATGAAATTGATGGCCGTCTATATTCCTTGGTGGTGGGTCCACCCTGGATGTTTCTAGCATTGTCCTTTTCCTATTTCGTTTAGTTGGATTTAATAGAAAGTATCATATTTATAAAGTCTGTGGAGTTGTTAACGTATTCCTTTGGCAAAACTAGAGCATTCACTGGTTCTCAGTGTAAAGTTGATATATTTTCAGTCAGTGAACCCCTAATGGCTTAGAACGAAATACAAATCTTGGAGAAGTTGAAGTAATATTGACGTTTACCTAATAGGTGCTATTAATGTTAAGCTTTATTCTATTGTATCATCCTTTGTCCTCTATGAATGAAACTGTAAGCCTTAAACTTCCACTTCTGCTAATATTTCCATTAGCAATTAGCTGAAACCCTAGATCTCCCCAACCCCTCCCAACAACACATTTACCTTTCTGTGTCCCATCGCACTCTTACCCAAACACCAGAAGGAACTAAAAAATGCCAAGTAAAGCCATAATAAATTCAATTACTTCTATTACGAAGATAATGTTGAGAACATGAAGCTCCATGCATATACTTTCACATCTAAACATGGAAAACAAAATTCAAGAAATTCTGAATCGCAATTCACTTAATTCTCTTGTCAAATAATATGCAGAAGCACCCAATCAGTGGAATTATGAAATTTAATAATGAAGCAGTTGCAGGAGGTCGTAGCAATTGTGTAACTATTATCTTAAAAAAAAAGGATGAATGATAGTTCATGTTAGTGAGCAAGAAAACTTTATATAATGATAGGCGTAATTGTTGCTTGCCTTAATATTTAATTCATTCAAATGGTGTGTTCAATACACCTTTAATTACCGGTTACACAGATTCTGGCTTGCCCCACTGCGTAGAGATTTGGTTTCGGCTGCTACAATCTTGCATTACGTAGACTTGGTAATTGGCAAAATGCTGTATTCTTACACCTTTTATGAAACACTAATTGATCTCATTCAGGAGATAACAAAATATAAAATAAAATTAATTGGCTTATACATGAGTTTGTGTTAATTTTACCTTTTGATGATGTGTTAAATGCATTCAATAAAGGAATGCCATCAAGAGTTCCCAAAAAGTCATGATCGTCAAAAGGGCATGCGATTAATGCATGATGGCCTACACTAGCTTCAACTTTCCATCCATAGTTGGATCTATAGTGGATAAAGGTAACTTGGATTGAAAAATGTAAGCTGTGGATTATTCTTCTCTTAGTAAGAGAATCATTATTCGTCTTCCATTTAAATTTCTATGCTATAACATTTAAATATAAAATCAAGGCTATCATCTTCCAACCTCATTAAAACAAGAGGAAAACACACTCTTGCACTATAAGTAAATCTAATTGGGCTCGGGTCCTACAAATAGGTAGTCTGAGGAAGTTTACAAGCACTTGAGTTAGAGTTCCTTTGTTATTTCAAAGGAATGAGACCATACCCAAGGAAATGAAGCTCAAAATCTTTCTATCTCCACTTTCTTATTTTCCCTATGCTTCTTATTCCCTCTTATTCCTACTCTAGCTCTCGCACACTACCTCAATTAGCCCACCCTTCCTTTCTCTTTCTTCTCCCTTTGAATCATTGCTTCCTGCCACTTCCTTGTCCTCCATCTATCCCTATATCAATTTATTTCCTGGGCTTGCTCTATCATCTTTCTCACCCTTACTATCATTTCTCTTGCTTTCTCCCTCTCACTCACTCATACATTTTCAAGTCCATTTAATGATCTATGGGATGAGTTTTATTTTTATTTTAATCTATGGGATGAGTTGACCTTAATACATATTCCAAAATCAATTCAAGTGCATGAGACAATGCAACGTCGTGGTGCATATCAAGTCTCATTAACTCGTTGACTGTTAAAATAACTCAATCGCTATTTGTTTGCAAAATAGATTATGTCGTTGCTTTCAGAATGGTGAAAATATCTAAGAATGATCTCTCGCGATCAATTCGAGTGAATGTGGTAAAAAACAATAGTCTACAGGCTCGATGTTGTGCAAAGTTTCCTAAATAACATATGTTTGCAAAAATGACTTTACCGTTGCATTCAGAATGTTAAAAATACCCTGCAAAGACACCTATAGTAAATGGGTTGCATGCAATCAAAAAGGCACAAATTTGCCCATGTGCGAGGCGGCGACATGCAAATCATGAGACATGAAACATAAGGAATTTGCAAGGGGTTGATTCATATTTATTTTTATGAGAGAGTGAGAGTGAGATGGCTAAAGAGAGATTGAGAGGAAGAGATGGAGGTTTTAGAGAGAGAAAGATAATAGGAGGGAGCATGGTTTAAAATTGCGCAATATGAGGCTCGCCTTGAGGCCCGCCTTTGCGCAATTCCAGTAAAAAAAGCCACGATGCTTACGCCTCGAGTTTTTTTATGAGGCTTGCGCCTCAACTTGGTTGAGGCCCGGCTCACCTCACTGGCCTGAGGCTTACGCCTCACGCTATATATATTAAAACTTGCATAAAACTTGAAGTAAATGCCCGACATTGGACTCTATAGGAGTGAAGGAAGGGGAGAGAGCAGTTCACCATAATGATGATTCAAATGAAGAACCCCTTAGTGATGACAGTGCTGATGACTTATGAGTTCTTATGTGATATGTCATTGCTATTTATTTTTGGAAATTGTAATTATATGTTAATGAAAAGAATACTGGGATTTGGGAAAGATAGAATTTTGAGTTGAACTATATTTCATGTTGTCTTATTATTGAGATATTTTGATTTCACTTCATATCTTATGCTTTTTTATGTTTTATATTATTCACTCATTAGTGTATAAAAAATTATCATTTTATATTTACGCAATCTTTTGATTTTGAGGCTTATGCCTCAAAACGGCTTGAGACTTACGCCTCGCCTCACGAATGAAAAATGCCTCAATACCCGAATATGCAATTTTAAACATTGGGAGGGAGAGAATATGGGATATCTCTATCACTTAGAGAGAAATATAGTATAAGGGAGGGATAAGGATAGAGGAGGAAGGTTGAGAAGGATGTTTGAGGTAGCTCGGCACCGAGAGGCACGATTAGGTCGAGCGGGGAGCTGACAAGATGATTGGCAGTGTGGAATATGTAAGACGATGAGGGTGAGGTCGAGTGTGGCAATAGTTGGGGCAACTTGTAGCTGGTGCTTTTGAGAATTGGAGGCGTGCATGCAGTTGGAGGCGAAGGTGGTGATCGGGCTACTCGTATATGTGGGCGTGCGATAAGAAGAATGGGTGTTGCGACTATAGGAGACGAGCAAGAATCACATGTGGGCTTGGAGCACGTAAAGAGTGAGTGTCGAGGGTTGGGAGGAAATGTGGGAGAGTTGATGAAGAAGTTGCAAGCTTTTGCGAATGCAAACTGGAAGGCAAGGGATCGAGAAATGTGGTGGGAGCTTCCGAGATTGAATAGAGAGAAGAGAAAGGGAGATAAAGTTTAAATATATATTTTTTCTTTTTAATTATTGCCCTTTTTTTTGCTAGATGATGGGAGAAGACTAGGCTTGCTTTAATTTTTATAATATGAGAGGTTTAGGGATTGCACAATATAAATTTTAATTATAATTTAATTAAATATTTTGCAACATTCTTAAAATTACTAGTTACTTTTTTCTCATAACATTAGCTTTATCATGCACAATCAAAACCTTGAGATCTTGAATCTTACTCACAAAAATATTTTTGTTAGCATTTTTTTAAATCCCCCCATATAATCCTAGGATAATATTTTACTTTTTTTTGTATTATGCCCATTCATCTTAAAGTCCAAAACTAATAAGTGATGTTATATATATATATATAAACTTTTACTCATAATGATTTTATAATCTTTGTAATTTAAATGATTTATTTTTTTATAAGAAAATAATCAATTTGAGTTTTACTATATCCATTCTTATAAGTGATGAGATGCTCCCCTCTTTTCTTAAATATTGTATTAGCAATTAAAAAAGCATAAGCTAGAGCATATCTAATATAATCTTATCATCTTTATTTGTCTCTCCAAACCATAGACATCATAAATGCTATTGAAAATTTCTACCACTTTACCAATGTGTCCATTCAAATGTCCTCTAATAAAAAATTTTTCTTCATGATGTATCTATTGTATAATTCTATCTCAAATTTTATTAATTTATACAATATTATTCTTCAAAGTTCAAACTCCTATCTTTAATCACATTTACACTATTTCTAGTGTGACTCCTACCTGAATATTATAATTTAAATAATAAACTATCAATCTCTTTAGCATTCTCTTCAATCCATTTAGTTTATTGAATGCAAAAAATATTAATCTTTTAAAGGAAGTGCATGAGAAATTCAGGAACAGCCTTAGTTGAAATTTGATTTAACAATTTCAGAAAACTAACGACAAGAAAATCATGAATAAAACACATATCTGGCCAGCAAAGAATCTCTGACCTCCTCTAGGCTCTGCAGCTCCACCAAGTAGCACAACCTTACTCCTTGTTTCGCCTTGACCATAGTTTTGAGTGCAATCATAGTTTTGGACAGGCTAGGATCTCCTCTAATAATCACTTTTCTCCCTTCAACCTTGAACTCCATCGTTAGCGCCTGCCAATCAACTTTTGTCTTTCCCAACTTCTGCAGCCATTTCATTCATAACATGACATCAGTGCTCCCTAACTTTAAAGGGGGAAAGTCCTCTCACCTGGACTCCCTATATGGTCAGAAGCACCCCCTACACATTCGTCTTCATCTTTCCAGTACCCATCATCACCCCATAGTTACCCTGTGTCCATCGGTTTCACCCTCAATTGATTTACAACCTAGTTGGAGATGAAGTTGTGGGTAACCCCACTGTCTACCAACACCACTACCTCCCTGTCTGTTATTTCTTCTTTAGGTCTCAGCTCCCTAAGCTCTACTTGTATATCCTCCCTAAGCCCCTTCATGAAATTCCCTTCCAACTCTTCCTCGAAAATTCCTCTCA